CATACAAAATTCGATATCCTGTAAGTTTTCAGCAATGTATTTCGAAAGTAGCCGTTACAACGGTCGCCAAAAATTGTCTTTTATAAATTTGAGCCCCGTTATGCGAAAGGAAAGAGTTTACAACAGCTTGAAAATTTCAAAGTTTATAAGGGTTGTCTGCTACGAACAACCGAACATTTCTGCCCTGTAATGCTTATTAAAGGAAAGATTTCAAAACAGCATGACAATTTCGAAATTTACAAGGATTGTCTGTTATGAAAAAAAGAAAATTTGACCTCCGTAGTGCTTAAGGAAAGATTTAAGAACAGATTGAAAATTTCGAACTTTGTAAGGATTTGTATGGAAAAACACTCAAACGTAACAGGGTGGCAAGAGCTGTTTTTCCCATACAAATCATTCTAATTTTCGGTACAGTCCAACCAGCCAGGAATATGGGGTAAAATCGATCTAGTTACCTTTGTTGTATATTCAAAGTCCACAACGTATTCAGGCAGCACCATCTCGTTATCAAACACGTACCACGCACACTGCTGCGTACTACACTCGCAATTCGTGTCCCTGACTGATCTTTTCAAACCCGACGGGCAGTTCTCGTGTACCCTACTTCGATAAACGGAGTCTGCACCTCGATAAGACGCCTTTGCAATTCTAAGAAGGAAAAATCAACGTTGTTAGTTTACACCTATCAAGCCGAACGGACAAATAGTGTGGAGAGAGAATTGACTGTGTAATCCAGAATTCGAGAGTTTCCAGAACATTAGAAAAAAGCTTCTTGAATATTTTCGTAAAGGATGCAGAGAGAATTTTCACCCAAGACGAAAGAAGAGAGGTCTTGTAACTCCCAAATCCCCGCCCCCCCCGCCCACCCCAGTGTACTTTCTTGGCCAAACACTTCCTTCTTATTCGCCACCTGCACATCTCCTATAATGCATCTTATTTGCCCCCAACATTTTGCATAACCTTTGTTTTTCATTTCTCCTAGGTATTACAGCCGTCCCAAGAGAAACTGAAAGCAATGCTTATGCAAAATGTTGGGGGGCAAATAAGGTGCATTATAGGAGATCTGCAAGTGGTGAAGTGTTCTGGGTTCCACCAGGTATCTACAAACTAATTGTAGCTACTATAACTGGACTTTTGTGCATTATGCTTTTGTTTTCCAAATAACATGCTCCCCCTTTATGCTCCGTTTTTTCCCAATAAAATGCGTGGTATGACTCTCTCCCACAAAAGTCACTAAAATGCTCGATCACATCCATCATAAAGTGGCTTTTTTCGTTTCTTTTCAAAATCTTATTAGTGTTATAACAGCAACATAAACAAGTTAATGGTTTTTGTACAGCAAAAGATAACCCCTTAGTCGGCTGTATGACATGTGAATTTTTTTCTTTCGCATTTCGACTGTAAGTATTCAATTTCTCTTAAATTTTTTTGTACAATTTTCATCTTCTCTGACAACAAAAAAAAAATTCCTGGAAAATTCCGCAAAAATACTGGAATAATACATTGCTTAATGCCCTTACCTCACTAAAATGCTCGAAATATGATAACAAAATATACAAAGCCTGACTAAAACTGTAGACAAAAAGGTCATGTTTCACTTACTTGTTTTCATTCTTAACAGGTACCACATTTCCAACAAACACTTTGGCGACGATCAGTTGACCTAAACGTAACACGGGGTAAATAATTATTTTGTTGGACTTGAAAGTACTGGAACCACGAAGCTCTACAGAACCCATTGACTGAACTTTAAAAACACGAACTATTTTTTAGGGCTATAGGGACATCATTTGGGTCATTAATCTACTGTTTCGAAAGGCTTCGTGGCTCCCCGAAAAGTACCACAATTGCTTTATTATGGCAAGCTGTAGAACGGAAAAAAATCCTCCAAACCCTTAAAAAATAGAGTCGGTTAATGATACTTAACGTGGTTGACAGCTAAGAGCGCCCAAGCTGCCCTACCGCGGTCAGCGGAATTAAGTTATGCCCATGTGTCAAAACATCGAGTGCTCTCAAACAATTCTCAAATTGAGCTGTCACGGGTGGTCAGCGACTGCAAGCTAGCGTCAGTTAACGACTGTTACCCCCTCCCTGAGGCTTAAGGTCGGGTTGCCAAGATATGCCAGCGATGCAGACTCCACCTGCTTGATTTAGTTGGCTGCCAATAATCTGCCAATAGGAGAAGCTCCTGGATATCTGAGGCACCCATCCTTCAATTGGCGAGTCAGGTTTTTCATTATCAATTACTAATGCATGCATTAAAATAATGTACATAAGACAACTGCTTGGAGTAAGCCTATTGGTTTGTATCGCTTTAGACTATTTTATTTGACTTCCTGGCCACTACAGAACACTCACCATGCCTAAAAGGGCATTGATCGGTACTCCCTCTCTGTTTGGCTTTTGTCCTGAGGTAATCCACTCTGGGTCTGTCGCAGACACTGACGCTGTTCGCGAGAGGAACACCACCATCTTCATTCAATGCCTGCAGAACACAACGAATCAACACAGAATTAATGTACAGAGCGCTTTACAATCCCAGAGCCAATAGGCCATTTGCACGATAGCGTCATTTTACTACTACGACCAGAATCCACTTCGTTTTTCTTTTCATATTTAAATTTGGCAATCCCAGTGAGGTTTAAATAACAAAACCCCTAATTTGCTCTAGAAAACAATATCTGAAGGACTCTGGTCGTAGAAGTAAAATGACGTCATCGCACAAATGGCTTATTACAGGCCATCCACAATTTTAATTTTTGAGTCTGTGGATGAAATCCTATGCTGTGACCATTCAAATGAAACCTCTTCAGCAGTACTTTCACATGGTACTATTTATTTAGTATGTAAACTAACTTCTGAGTCTGTGGATGAAATCCTATGGTGTCACCATTCAAATGAAACCTCTGGCAGCAGTACTTTCACATAGCACTATTTATTTAGTATATAGTTCTAACTTTTGAGTCTGTGGATGAAATCCTACGGTGTGACCATTAAAATGAACCTCTTCCGCAGTACGTTTACGTGGTACTGTATATTTACTATGTATAGTTCTAACTTTTGAGGCTGTGGTTGAAATCCTCTGGTGTGACCATTCGAATGAAGCCTCTTTCGCAGTGTCTAGCATGCTACTAAAAGTAATGCCGCTATTTGTCTTCACCATTTTCACAAAATGAAATTTGTTCCCTTTCTTGAATATTGAACGGAGGAGCATAAGGATTTTTCTCTCTTGTTTGGTCAATTATCCTGGAGAGGAGGGTGGCAGTTTTCATGGTTTAATGCAGTCACGTATATAAACACACAAATTTACGCACCTCATAAACAGATGCAGGACGGAAGCCTTTCTCCAAGACTCTAATGGGTTCTCCGTTTCCGTCAAGTAAAGATGGATCCCACATAAAGAATAGATATTCTAAAAATCTCTTGTACGATCTTCCCCTGGAACAAAACAGGAATTAGTCCAGCTTGAAACGGCTTTAAGTACTTCCATCTCCAATACACTACACGACACAAAATTTGACTTCGGATATGGTAATGTTGATACACTAAAATATGAATTTCACAAAGTAGTATAGTAAGGAATGGCTACAATCGGCGACAAAATGAGTTGAGACACTTCGCCCAAAACTGGGCTTTTTTACGTTTTATTAACTTCAAAAGGAGGAAATATTGCTTTCCTCCCCCATCCCCTCCGTGCAATGTTGTGCCCTTGTTCTAGCTACCTATAGAAAACAACAAACACCCCAACTTTGAATGGAGGGGACAGGGGAGGGGTGCGGATTCTTTTGTTCTCCGAAGTTACCCTACTTAAGTACAATGTCTCAACAATTTTGTCGCCGATTGTAGGTCTCTTTTTCGGGTAAGGATGAATGAGAACTTTATTTTACAGCCCACAAATATATTTTAGTTTTTAAATGCCTAAATTCATTTATTCTTATTTTGAACAATATTTAGTCCGGGGTGCCCAGTTCAGCGAGGCTGGTTTGAATGGGGCCCTTATGAAAAGAAAAAACAACACAAAAAAAAATAACAGATAAAAAAAATTGGAACAACTAACTATAGCGAAAGTATCGGAGGCTCAATTTGGCTTGGATCTAAAGTGCCTTTTTAGGCCAAACCCAAACTTAATTAAATCATGCTCGCTCCTCAGGGCCAGGGGAAGCGTGAATGTTCCAGATCTTGGCTCCCCTGAACCTGAAGGAGCCCTGGTACTTAGTTCAGGTGGTCGCTTACAAGAGGTTAAAAACAACGCGAAAACTATTAAACCGTCAGGCCAAAAATTGGTCGCAGTGCCAGTATGAGAGGCCGTCGTTTACCAGAGGTTGTAATCACAGGATTTTGACTGGGAAACTTTTTGTCTTTGGATAGGTGGTCGCTTACAGGAGGTGGTCGCACAGGGATGTTCAAGTGTATAATCTTCATATAACGGAGTTATTTATTACAGTATATCAAAGTCTTCATACTTTGTTAATTCAGTGATATCGTCCTTGTCTAGAATCTTGTCCAATTTATCATCAAATCGGGTTCGTAAGATTCTGTTATGTACCCTTGTGATTCGATGAATTTTAATTCCAGAAATTCCTGCACCCTGTGAAAGAAGTTTTAAAAAAGACGTTGAGCAAAAAAAATGTTACACTTCTGGCATGAAACTGAACAAGCCACGCCAACTATTACTACAATCGCGTTGAAGCGCGAAGTAAGAGAACATGCAGTGCTCAACATCATGCGAGTCTCCCTTCCCCCAAATTGGTTGAAACAATGGACTTTGACCTGACCTTTACACAGTTCCTAAAGCTTCTTTTTACAGTCAATCGGTAGTAAATTGTGACCCTAGGACCAGTAGCCAATCAGCTTTTTCAGGTCACGTGGGGGTCTATGTTTAATGATGATTGACCAGTCACCTTTAACTACTGCCATGAATGGTCTTCGTTATTGATTCTCATGTTTTTCATTAGAGACGGATTTCCTATTTTCACTTGCAGGATCTGGAGTGTCTAAGGCAATCAACAACAAGTTGTTGTTTCCAGTGAATAATTTCTTTTTCTAACAGTGTAAAAATCCAGAGAAATAAATGCCCCCGGAATTTCCATGCACTCATCGTGTTCTTTTTGAAACTTGACACACTTTTCGCTGACCTTCACAAAACGTGAAGGTCAGCAACAACAGAAATGTACAAAAAAGCGTGATGCGCATGCAAAGTTGTTGTTTTGCTTATTAAAACTATTTCTTTTTTGCCGTTCTCATTACCGTCGCCGTCGCCGTCGCTCAAGCTCCCCGAACGATAAGGCTGAGTGCAGTCTAAAAGAAAATTAATATACCTGGTAATCTCCAACACAGAATCTTGACAAAACAAGGTCATGGCATGATTTGTACCAGGGGTCTGGTGGTTTACCATCCTCAAAGCGAACATTCCCACCAGTCTCCAACTCCAATAGAAGTCGCAGAACTGTCATCTCTGACACACTGTTCACTTGATCACAGCTCTCTTGATGGCATTGGTCAATCCTTAAAACAGAATTTGCCACTAAACATCAATAGGAACTGGCTGCTTAAAAAAATCAATGACGGAGTTGTTATACTGAGGCTCCGTTTATAAAGAGAAAAGTTTCCTAGGTAGAAGGGTTATCCGCCTACTTGAGCTACCCTGGGCGAACCAACTTTTCATCCATTTCCTTACAAAACTTGACTAACTGTTTAAAAGAGAAACATAACGTTGGCTCGGCTAGATGGGTGACCCGGCTTAGCTGGGTTAAACCTTTTCGACTGTAGGGTTACTCTCCTAGTCGGACCAATTTTTCTCCAAACAAACAATTTAACTCGCCCAGCAGGTTCAACTCGGTGAGGACAATCAGAGGATGCACTGACGCTGTTTGACACAATCAGAGCATACGCGAGTGCTGTTGACCTTAATTGGGAAGAGCGGTCTACTTGTTTCTCGTATAAACGCTCGCTAAAGTTGACTTGGCGAGGGTGACCCTCTTTCCCAGGGCATATAAACGAGGCATGAGCAACGTCCCATGCAACATGTCTCGCAAATGGAGCAACAATAACGCAGGGCAATTTGAAAGAAAGACTGCTTAGCGTAACTGGGGAGAAAAACCTTCTAAAATGGCAAAATGCACTTCTTACTCTTCGCATTGTTTCTGTAGCTTAGCAATTCTTTTCAAAAGAGCCTCCTTCTTCTGTTGTAATCTCTGTGAATACACCACTGTATCAGCTACGATATTCGCTGCGTCATCCTGAATGTTTTCCTTTTTCTCTTCATCACCTGTAGCAGGGCTAATGGGATTTTTGTTTTCTTTAAAACATGTGGACGTCCCATCCGTAAGTTCTTCTACTTCTCTTTCAATCTACGAGGAAATATAAAAATAAAGTCAAACCTTCCATGAGGGACCAACCAGTAGAGAGCTTAAACAACCACAACGGCAATGGCCGCAAAAGCGTCACTTTAGTGAATTCGCGTTATTTTCAAATATCATGGCTTTTATTCTCACTTCGGACCAACGTTGTCTTGATCAAGATGAGACAATAGGGACTTTAAGCTCCGAGGACGCGGACGGCAACAACAACGCCAAAAAATACAATAGGTTTAATAAGCAAAACAACAACGTTGCACGTGCATCACACTGTGGACCTTACGATCCGACAACGGCAACGTCCACGAAAACGTCGTTGACAAATAGACTTAACATCCTTTCACTTTTTTTCGCGATTATCTCTAGGGCCCCAGTTACTTAAAAGAAGAGATTTTGGGTTGGAGCTGAAGAGAGGAGACCGCGCCCGAGTTCAGACAGAGGTGCTAGAATTTATCCCCTTGCCATTCCCGTCCCCAATTAATCTTAAAACTTGGTTATTTCACGTCGTAGTTGTGCAGGGACGGTAAAGAAATGTAGGCAAAAAAACGTGATGCACGTGCAGAGTTGACGTTTTGCTCTTTAAACCCATTGCCTTCTGACGTTCCTGTTGCCGTCGCCGTCGTGGTTTCGTAAGGTCCCTACTTTTTGGCACATTTCGTCGCGGTTTTTTGCACGATTACGACGTGAAAACAACAGAGCCCTCCGCCTCGGTACATTTGACACCAAGATGGCCGCCCGTCAAGGTAAGTGCTCGATCTTGACAATCTTACGAAAAATTACGGGACTATGTAACGCAGTCTATACAAGCGTCTGCAGGGTTGTCACTAAGATTTCAAGTTGCAGGGTAAATACAACAAGTAGGCGGGGAATCAAACAGTCAGGGGTTTCTTTTGGTTCTATTTTTCTTTTATTTTCCTTTGAAAGTGGCCGGGGGCCATAGTCATAGTAGCCGGGGGAAATCTCCGGCCCCCGCCTCTTAATGACAGCCCTGCGTCTGACAACAGCTTGGAGATTCCGAGGCATCTATATGACTGAAGTATTACAGCGAGGCCAGTACTCACATCTTTAACAGCTGAGTACAGCTTATGAATCCTGTTCTTTGGTTCTGCTTGAAGAACAGCTTTCTCTGTCTCAAGTCGGAAAAGTAAGTCAGCTTTGTTCCTTTGTAGGGTCTTTACACGCATGTTGTAATACATCTTTTTCTTTATCACTGTGGTCTGTAAATAAAGAAAAAACTGAATCCAAAGCCAAAAACATTTATATATTAGGGAGCTTAAGATGATGTTACACGAGACGATTCGCAACGATGATTTTTAGCGCGACACAACGTTGCAACATTGTTTCGAATAGTTACAACATTGTTCCAGCATTGCAACGCTGTGTTGCGCTAAAAATCGTCGTTGCGAATCGTCCCGTGTAACATCACCTTTAAGCAACGACGAAGGCGACGTCAACGAGAACGACAAAAAAGCAATAGGTTTAAATTGGCAAAACAACAACTCAGCACGTGCATCACGCTTTTTTGTACATTTCTTTACCGTCACTGCACGACTACAACGTGAAAATGTCTAATTTCACGTTTTGTGGAGTACGTGAACTCAAGACAACGCCGACTTTTTTTTCTTTTCCTGAACTTCGATACAGTCTTTTATAACTCAACTCCAGAATAAAATTGCTAAAATTTGACGAACGACATGGAATAAGCGCGATAAAGTTTAAAGCAGCGCGACATCACTTTTTAAGTGACGTTTTCGCAGCCGTCGCCGTCGTTGCTGCTTAAGCTCCCTATTAATATTAAGACCGGGGGTGGGGTGGGGGGCACTTGAGGAACGTTTGGGTAGAGGTCATGTGTGTCACCGAGGCCTTGGAACCCTGACCCTGATTGATTTTCTTTAGGTTACAGAAAAATTGTTGGTAATTTTTTAAACTAACATGACAAAAAGATTTTATGGAAAAAATCATTGCTACCACGTGCATGTAGACTGCTCATTGCCAAAGTTCACACGCTTTTAATGGCCTCTGGTCCCTTGCCTAGGGAGACTTTTTTCAGCGTTTTCTTACAAATCAAGTTGCCAGCTCCGAAATTTTAGGCGCCAGATGGTCGCAACTTGGAGGATTGATTTAGTCAGAAACTAACCTCTGCTAGATCTTTGAGTGTTTTGTTTTCCACACTGTATGAGTCAACCCTACGTAGCTGTGGCAAGTGATAGAGCAGATGAGTGGAGTAGTTACACAACAATGCTACAGGGTTTGGTCCATACACCGGATCCTTTAGGCTTAATGACTCCAGACAGGGTAGACGCGAAAGGTTTGTCAGATCCTATACAATTTAAAAACAACATGAGACAGGTCTTTACCTGGTAAAGGGAAATTTATATTATTATTTAGGTCATTCTTCTAAGACCTAGTCTGCTGCACAGCCAGTTTTAGTGTCGTCACGCAACGGTCCTCCCTTTGTGGGGAGGAGCGTTGTGTGACGACACTAAAAACAGCTGTGTAGTAGACTATCTAAGACCTGGATAATTTATTTGTTAGTTGAACATGAAATTAGAATATTACAAAACAGTAGAGCATCTATATAACGAAGGGCCAAGATACCCACAAAATATGTTTGCTATAACAAGGTTTGTTATATTGAGGTTCTTATCCATATATTTTGCTTTTGCTGGGGCGAAGAAAGTCGTTTGTTATGCCGAGGACATCGCTATAAAGAGGTTCATCTAATCGAGATTCCACTGTTGAAAATTTGGCTGGAAAATTTGCAAGTAACACTATCTTCAATATGTGATATCATTTTTCAAGGTAATATTATATTCCAGGTCTATGGTATATTACCCTGCAAGCAGTGATTTCTCCAGGTCGGACGCTACGTAATGAAGGAGAAAAGGCACTGCAAGCAACCGTTTGCCTCTTTGATCGAGCCGCCATCCAGTACCATGGACGAGTAAATTAACTTTGAACGAGTTAAGACTCCTTAAAAACAAGTTAAGGCTGACAAGACAATAAACTGTACCTTCAATGATGCAATGCAATTTGCAGAAAGGTCTAACGTCTTAAGGTTTAAATTTCCACTGAGAGAATTTCCTGCAGAAAAGCAGAACTGTTTAAGAGTTTTTTTAAACTGCACCAAAGCTTATTTTACTCTGAATCAGTGAAACAATACCCACACAGCTACATATGTATATGTTACAGCTCAAAATTAAATTCAGGTCTACCAACATTTTTTAATCTGGGTGGATTCTCAATTTCCTTTGTCTCCTAGCCCTAACTATTCATGAATTAGGGCTAGGAGACAAAGAAAATTGAGAATCAACTTGGGTTAAAAAAATTGAACCTGATTTTAATATTATTATGACCTGTAACATATATACATCATCAGTCTATTGATTAAGAGATAAAATTACTATGACATTATCTTCAGTAAGTTGCCCTTTTTTATTAAACCTTTAAGAGTGATCAGCATCAAATTTCTCTTGATATTTTATCAACTTCTCCCCACTACTTCTGTAAGAAATGAATGGGGGCAACAAATGAGAATTCAAATTTTGATCTTAGAGTTTAAAGGGTTAAAAAGTACTGTTACCAGTTTTGGAGAGTTGGAACCACTCACCTATTTTTGTTATTCTGTTTGCAGCCAAGTTTAAGTCTAGAAGATAGAGAAGCCCGTCTAATCCCTGCATCATGAAAAGACTTTGAGTTATGATGAGGAAGGATAGATGAGGCGAGGCCAATTACCAGCACTTAAGTCACAGCCTACTGTTATTAATGACATGACAGGGTGCAAAGAAAATCAGTTTTACAGCTAGCATGCACTAGCCTGAAAGTCATTTGGACTGGCCTAAAAAAAAGATTTGATGCACGAGCATGATGAATAATTAATTAATAACTAATAATTAATTAATAATTACAACATTAGTTAATCAATTAATAATTATTGCTTTATAAATTCGTTTTAGTCAGCCATGATTTAACAAAAGCTTTAGGAGCCTTACTTTTACCCGAAGATTGATCGTGAACGGATCACACAACCTCTAGTATGAAATGAAATGTAGTGTTATTAACATATTATGCTTGTTTTCATACTTGTTTTGACAGATTTCACTTTGTCAGATGAACTTAAAATGGCTTTTGGTCGGCTCATGTGAATTTATAAGGAATTTGAAATTTGTGTTAAAGTACTTCTGAACAGTTATTCCAAAAAACTTCACTTGCCTGTTGGCCAAGTTAAGAACAGAATTTTTTTTTAATAGCATAATAGCAAAATCCATTATCCCCAGGGTTATAGACATGATTGTCTTTGCACGCTGCATGATTATCTGAACCAAGCTTTTACCCAGGTGGCCAACCAGCCATCCAGTGGACAGACACTTTTTAGGAGAAAATAAATAAATAAAAAGCACATCTTGTTGATTCTCAGTCAGTGATTTCAAACACCCCGATTGGTGGATGGCCATTTACCAATTCTTGGCTAAAAGCTTGATCTGAACTAGTCTGGATGAGCAAGAGTAGGTTGAACTAACAACATGCACATCATCAACATACCCTCACTTGATGAGCTTAACTATAACTGGTGTAAATAATCTGAAAGTTACATTTTATTAATGGTTACTGGCTATGTTACCTCTATTTCAATGATTCTGTTATTATTGAGCCACAAGACACTCAGCTGATCCAGATGTGAAATATTCTCTATTTTTGAAATCCTATTGTCATACAACAACAGTTTTCTTAACTGTTTACACTCACTGAGACCAGAAATTTTCTGTTGAGAAAAAAAAATATTGTTATAAACCGGGGGGTGGGGGGGAGGAGGGAGTGTCGAGGTTGGGAGTAGAAGAGAAAAGCAGTTGGCATCCAACACTTTACTGGTTTCCCTGTTTTCCCTAGTACTCATCAATAAGATAGGCCTGACTAAAAAAAAAAAGTGTTAATGCATTTCATCCGAGGAGATCTACCAGGGTCAAACACTCCACCAGTTACTGACTCGTTTCCAGTTCTCTCTCAGTCTACTATTAATATTAGGGAGCTTTAGATTTGAGGACTAGAATGAGTATGAGTACAAGATTTAACTTAAAGTTTTTGCATGTGTTCTCAAAAAAAGACACCCAGGAAAGCTTGGTTTACCTTTTTTTCACCAAAAAAGTTAGTGCAGTTATTTAAACCAGACCAGAATACTGAAAAGTCATCCCATGAAGAGGGGGCAGGGGGACATATAGTGTACAGTGTCCTACAAAAATTGACTTACAGACAGCTTGCTTTCTGACACACATAACTCGGTTAAGTTTGGTAAACATTCCAGATTCTCCAGCATTGTAATCTGCTGACCCATCAGAGTGAGGCTCACATCCGAACCTTTCAAGAGGTACGGTTAATAGAAACCTTTCGGACTCTTCTTGTAGAGGTTCCTAAACTGTAAAAAAGGACTTCCTTTCTGTAACTTTTCAAACTTGACTCCATTTACAGTGCACTATAGACAAAAGAAATGAGCTGGATAACTGGCCACTGGGTTACTAAAGGATTTCTAACCTATGCAATGTCAAGGCTGTGCTCTGGGAAAAATTGACTTGGGGGCCAGCAGTACCCTAAAATTATGAAATCTAGGGTACCCAGCATAATGATTTCTATGAAAAAACTAAGATTATTATTTTTTCTAGTCCCCTGGGAGAGTCAAGTACCAGGGGCAATTGGGCAGTGCTAGAGCAAAGTCTTAAATGTACATAACAGCACAAATTTTAAATCATTAGCCATACTCTGAAAGCAGACCTAGTTTCTACAGGGTTCATACAAAAAATTGCAACCATTTTTTAAGTTTTTTTCAAGGACTTTTCAAAGACAACATTTGACTTTCAAGGACCACCTACCAGCAATGTTACCTCACAGATAGTGCAAAAATGGACATAACCAGTCCATTCTGACTAAATAGGACTTTAAAAGCCTTGAACTGTTTGCTCCATCAACCTTCTCTACATTTTTAAGTTCACCTGATTAATTGATAGTTAATAGAGAGGAGAAGTGTGACATCACATTACCATGGTAGCACTGTCTCTGGATGACAACAAAACCAACAACGACGGCAACAAATAAAATAAATAAATAATGATTTGGAGGTAGCACGTTATACATCCACAAAGTGGTTCTTCATCTACCTGATTCCTGATCTAATTGGAATTTGGAAATGTTGGTTTTTGAGGCCTGGGGAAAACCGGAGTACCGCGGAAAAACCTGTTGGAGTAAAGGAGAGAACCAACAACAAACTCAACCCACATATGATGTCGATTTGAACCTGGACCACTTTGGTGGGAGGCGAGCGCTCTCACCACTGCGCCATCCCTTGCTCCCCGCAGCAAGGAGAGAGGTGGAAAATATGGTTATATTGACAAATAACAACTTTGCACGTACAAAACGTTATTTCGTACATTTCTTTGCGGTCATTGCACCACTACGACATGAAACTTCCTAATTTCATGAGCTTGCTTTATGGAGTAGGTGTACACAACACAAAAATTGCCAAATTAAATGAAATTAAATAAGATTGGTGAAGTTTGAAATAGTGCAAATAGACTTTTAAGTGACTTTATTAGTTTGTTGTCATCCAAAAATTTTGCTACCATGGCAACATGACAAAACGACTTCTCCTCTCATTCTTGCATAAAACAAAAAATGCTTTATGTACATAGCTATGACTTATATTGTGTCTCAGACAACCAAAAGGCATTAAAAATCACTTTTTAGGCCTCTACATTCAAAGTTGAAGAAAAGTCAAGGACTTGCACAGAAATTTAAAGACTTTTCAAGGAAAAATGCAATTCAAGGACTCCCTCTAAAATTCAAGGATTTTACAAGACTGTGCAAACCCTGTTCTATCAGCATAATCCAGTGAGTCTTAATTTATTTCCTAACTGAACGCAGGGTTCCATAATGGTACTCCCATATCTAAGCCAAGACAGCTTGAATATCCTTGAAAAGGAAGTTTTTTTACCACCTGATCGGGACACAGCCAAACTCCTCTCTAACTTTAATTCAACAGATGTTTTAAAATTGAAAAATAGGATTGTTGTCTAAGTCATGGTTACTGGCTAGACTCGCCACAAGTCAACCTCATGAGTTTCTAACCAAGTGGAGTGAGCTGTTAAGGCCACGAAGCGGCTGAGCGAGTGACAAAGTCACGAGAAGGACTTTTTTGAAAAGTCAATCTACTGACTGGCAAGAGGCTTAAAAAACTGTTGCGCACCAATCAATGGACTTAATGCTTTGCAGTGTGCAGGAAAATTCATTGTTTAGGGTTTCACTCTCTAGCATGATTATCAAGGCAGTTTTCTCATTTTCACAGCCCTTGTAGCCAGTTGTTTTCTTGCCTGTCTTCCCTGCCTGAAAATCCCTAATAATGCTCATTGTGTAGGTGGCTACTCCCCTTTGACTTTTTCACCGCAACCCAAGCAAATTCTACACAGTTCTCATCCCCACCCCTACCCCCAAAAATGTCTGAACTGTAGGCTCCAAGGAGTCACTGGCTGAAGTTAATGCTGCTGTATAAATGCTGTCATAACTTTTGATTATACTTAATGGTCCCTGATCTGTTGTGAAAGCCAAACCACTATTTCTTGTCTCACATCTTTTTTTTATCAAAGTTATTTAAAATGAATGTGAAATAAAATAAAGCAGTGCAACTGTAGTACAGTAGATTCACTTCTACAAATGTGCCTAACAACTATTGTCTTTGTGTGTATTTATTCGTATGCATTTATGTGGTGATATATCACAATGAAAACTTAATCATGTACCAGTTCTTCAAGGGAGCTTTTCGTGTGTTTCCTTTTTGATCTGGCTTTATTGACAGACTGAACTGCTTGTCTCTTCACAACATAAAAAAGAACAAAACAAACCAAAATACAAACATGAAAAAATAATAAAGTGAAACAAAAAGAAAAAAAGAAAAATGTTTATAGTATAGTTTGTCTACTTAAAATCTTAAAATTCCTAAAATGTCACAAAAGTGGACATAAAAAAAATATTATAATAAACTGTATATTTGCCAGCAAAATATCTTCTAAGTCCCAAATGAAAAACAGTCTGCTATAGATTCAGAATATACCAAAGTGGTAAGATTTAATGATTAACTGGTCATGATGGTTAGGTCAAGGCAAAATATTAAAATTAAAAAAATAACAAACAGATAAAAACACAAAAATAAAAGAAAAATGCGAACATAAAAGAAAAACTCACAAAGTAAAGATAAGAAAAAGAAATTATGACAGTGGTTTTTGCAGTCAGTCTGGCATCCCTATCCAGCTGTTATTAGGGTTGTTGTGTAATGTGCCTCCCCAAAAAGGGCATAATGTATTTTCTGCATGAGTACCTCTCAACTTGGATTTTCTGGTGCAGCTAGGCTTGATTACCAGCTGTTGTTCTGGACAAATAAGCCTGCCATCATCCCCCTGATTGAGAGTGACCAAAGACTGAACTCAGGAGTTGGCGGAAATCGGGCCTAGGTGCAACTATGTGACTTGCATACTCTTGCCTTCAAAGGCTTTAAAAGATGGAGTTGTGGCAAGGCTAGGTCTAAGGCTTGATCAGAGAACTATTGCTTTGCATAAGCGTACATGTTGGTTTTGATCTTCTCCTTTCACTGCTCTTTGCATTATGACATTGAAAGCGTATTAGGAGAAGAGGAATGCTTGAAAACTTTGTCTGAAGCTAGAAACCAGGATATCCTTGGTCAAGATCAAATGAAACGATCCCCAGGAATCTTAATCAAACCCCATTTGCAGCGCAGCCCTTGCTTGGCTGCAACCACCGGCACACTCTTCTGACAGTTTTCACGCTGAAAACTTCAATACATAAATCCATTCAAAACAGTGCAATAGAAAAACACATCAAAATTTACTCCGCTACGAAAACTCTAAAATAAATGGGCTTTCATTAATGATCACGTAAACTCGATGTTGACCAAAGTAATCTCAAGCTTTTTAAAAATTAATGTTCAATGTAATGAATTCAATCAGTTCCCTGCAGTTACTATCGACTGATCTTTCAACAACCGAAAACAAAGCACTATTTATGAAAAGAAAACCCCAAATAAGAAAAAAACCTAAAAAAGTTGAGAACAATAAGAGAACAGAGATCAAACCACAATCGATCACTGTAAAACTGCTAAAAATTGGAAGTTACAACTACTGACAACTACAACTTACCAGTTCTCTCAAAGATTCTTCGTCCTCGTCCGAAGACGAACTCTCAGATTTTTCTTCTTTAGCGCTTATCATTTCGCCATCGTAACCACATTCATTAACGAGGCAGTAAACTTTTTTATGAGCGTAGATTTTGTGTTTGAAGTAAATTGGCGCGCTCCAATGTACACGCCGCCATGTTTTCTCGAAGACTCAAATTCGAACGCTGTGATTGGCCAACAGTTGCTCTAGAAACTCAGCTCGTCCCAGCTTACCACTACCAAAAAGGGGCCACACTTGAAGTAGGTGTGTGGAGAGCCCGAGAGAGGTGTTGTGTTTCGATCGAAAATGGCGCTCTCATTGTTATTTCGGCAGGCCAGGCTCCGAGCTTTGAAGATTCCACTTGCTTTGGCCTCCGCAAGGAGATTCGAAAGCACTCTTGTCGAGACTGAAGAAGATGGCAAGATCTTTTTTGTTTCGATAGCTCGTCCCGAGAAGCGAAATGCGGTGAACGCAGAGACTGCTAAACAACTTTCAGAAGCGTTTCGCGCTTTTGAGAATCACGATGAATGTTCAGTGGCCGTCTTCTTTGGTAAAGGTGGCTCATTTTGCGCTGGTTATGACCTTCAAGAATTGTCAGAGAGGGATCCGGAAAAATTCTTAAAATCAGTGCCACCGGTCGGAGAAGGTGATGCACCCATGGTAAGTAAAGTTTCGCGAAAAGTTCAAGCTTTTTCAGAGAATCGAAAACAAGCTTGCAGAGCATTCACGTTTGACTTCCACAAAAGTTATGGGATTAAAGTTTTTGTACCTTTTTTACTGCTTTTTCTTTCGCCCATAATTCTGTTTATCGTTGCAATTGCATATGTTTGCCCTTTGATGGGCCATCGTGCTTTTTTGCACGTCAAGTCCCATGTACAGTTGTGTTTTGATAACCCAACGCACGTGCACGACACGCGCGCGTGTCGTGAATCGCTTTTTTCCTGAGCAGGATGTGACTTTTATTGGCTTATTTCCGGTGAAAAGAGAAGCATGCTGTACAGGTATTTTGATCGACGACTCATCATGTTCATGAAAACGTGCATGTGGCATTGGTTGGTGAACAAATGTTTACTGCATTCTCAGCAGGAAATTGATTAATTTTTATTGTTATGAAATGCAGGAAAATCCAAACTGGTGGTCAGTTACCTGCAAAATAAATCTAAAGATTCCTGTTTGGAAAGTAAACAGAACATGGTGTGTTGGGTAATTCCAGTGGAAAATTTTCCAGATCAGTGGAATTACCCAACTTCAAGAAATTTTGCTAAGTTTGCAGAGCTGTAGGAAACGTGACGTTCAAATGGGCGATTGCAGAAAATATCCTCACCATACCATGGATGGCTTCTATATTTTAGCGTTAATTTAAAAATTGCAAAATTGCCACTGTTCAAAAGGATCGACTTTACAATTTTTAAATTAACATAAAGTAACTACGCTGTCCAGGGATTTTAATCTTTATTCCATATTTAACACCCCCCCCCCTTGCCCTCAGAATTTCCAAAATGTGTTATCTTGCCATGCCCTCCGAATTCCATAATCATTAACGCCCCCTCCTATTCGGATTTTCCATTTTTTCGTCAAACCCTTGACGAAAAAAATTCACTGAGAATTTGTGGAGTCTTAATGACTGCCAGAAATTCTAGAATGAAACTTTAATAAAAATAAAAGTGTTCAACCTTGTTCCCAGGGTTCTCTCCTACCTGCCCTATGGAGCGAGAGAGAGAGAGACCCTGGAAAACGCTGGTCACGTGGCTCCAGAACAAAATTATTTCTGAGGGAGGAGTCCTTTGTCTCACATTTTTTTGTCTGGTTTATTGGCGACGTTCATGTAATATATCAAACATGAGATGCAGTGTTTCATCACCAGATGAAACACCGAGAAGAGAGTTGAAAATACGACGCGCAGCGGAGTATTTTTGACGAACTTCGAGGTGTTTCATCTGGTGATGAAACACTGTGTCGAATGTTTGATACTTCTTCTCAAACAAAATCATTTTTGAAGGAGAAATTAAGGATGCAAATACTAAGCAGTGTTTCATCCGATTTCCAAACACTCATTAAACATTAATTTCCTTTGTATTTTCTTAATGAATTATTAATGAGTTTGAGAAGCAGTGATCACAACCAGATAGATTTGACTACAACTATAACTGAAACTAAAGGAAATTTCTGCCTAAACAAAACTATCAGATAAACAAGTGAATTACCAGAGAAGGAATAAAAAACTAGCATTGTCGCTGGTTTAACTGATGACACCAATCGCTAAAAATCTACGATCTTTTCGGAGTTATACACAAGCGAGTTCATTTTTTGAAGGTAAAATCCCTGTATGTTGAACTTGTATATTAAAAGTTTCAATGTTTGTCTGACAGCGGCTGGTAATCGGGCCAAATAAACCTACACCATTTGCGGTCTTAGGGGTTCGTCGTGACAAAACCCCAGGACAAAACATGACAGTTACTTGAGAGCAAGAAATTCAGTTAATACATTTACGATCAAAGTAATATTTTAGATCTAGTGACTTCACGTAAAGTTATAGCCTAAAATGTCAGCATTTTCCACCCCCTAACCTCTGTCATGATGCGGCAAAAGAAAAGTTGTAAATAAATCAAAGATAAAAATAATTTCATATACCAACACGACATGTAAGCTGATGTAAGACAACAGGAAATAGTATAAACAGAGACAAAACAGACAACATAACCTTCCAAGCGAAAGGCTTTCTTGTTTATGGCCAATATGAAAACTTTATTTAAAAACACATGTGGCTCAGTGATTTCTAAAAATCCTCTAAAGCATACCTAAACATCCAGAAAATTAATAAGGAACAATAAACGGTTGGCAGTTGTGCAAGCCATATCATATGGTATTTTTTAACAAAGAAGCTTACGGCTATCCTGAGAATTATAAAAGACGACAAAAAATGCAAAAACACAGAGCCTTGGCAAAAAATATTTTCTTTCAAGATTCTCTTTACCTCTTTCCATTTGAACAATAGCTAACAATCAGCCTGACTGTCCGAGCGGCATAGTCTCTCTTCCTGTTGCTTCGAGGCAGTTCGAGGTCGCGGGTGAGGACAGCAACGCTTGATACATTTTTTCAGCGCCTTGCATAATAATAGTCTTGAAAACAGATACAGATACTGTACATTTGTTTTCTAAAGTGGCCTCCACAACATATAAACGGCAATTCAAATCTAGTGTGTTTCAGTATGAATATTACTGCCAGGATACCTAAATTATTTTTGACTGCACAAACGGTGAATCCTCCGCCATTTCCGCCGCATGTGCCAAATGAAAGCATCACTGATAAATGTCCTATTTATATACATCCAGATATTCTGCAGGAAGTTACGCTTTTGCTGTCAAAGGACTTTGTGCATTATTTTCCGCCTTCAAGTTCGGGTCAGGTACACAGTTTGATGGCTGCACTGACCTGTCTCTCTGACCTCTGTAGAGACAAATCTCACACTTACCTGCCCCTCCCCCAAATCGTTTGTTTGTAATCTCCCAGATTCTGGGAGACATGTGACCAGCGTTTTCCAGGGTCTCTCTCTCTCTCTCGCTCCATAGGGCGGGTAGGAGAGAACCCTGGGAACGAGGTTGAAAAGTGTTCTCCTTATCACTGTTCAACAGATGTAACCTACATTAACATTATTTTTTCCATTCATGTCAGAGTTTTTCCCCAGAAACTCCATCCTTGCTTCCTTTTTACTCCTTAAGCAAACCCACTTGCCCCTCCTTCATCCATGGACCCTCCATGTTTAATAATCTCTCCCTCTCTCCATGTTTTAAGGGCCCTTCCCGACTGAAACTGAGCAAGCCAGTTATTGGGGCAATAGAGGGGCATGCAGTCGCTGGTGGAATGGAGCTGGCTTTGATTTGTGATCTCAGAGTGGCTGCAGAAAATACTGTCATGGGAATATTTAACAGGAGATTTGGTAATACTTTTTATATAAAATGTTGCTAAAAAAGCAAAGTTTCTTATTGTGAGAAAATAAATCACTGTTATGATCATTACCATTATCACCTCGCATGGCAGTAAATTTATACCTCATTGCTACTTATTTTTGCTTTAATAGGGCCATTTATACCAGGAAAAATAAGACGCGTCTTAAATAAGACGCGAACTTTCCGTATAAACGGCACATTTGGTCTAAAATAAGACGTGGCTTAGCTAAGACGCGTCTTATTAGATAAAACATGCTCGTATAAATGGTACAGTTCGCATCTTATTTAAGAGGCGTCTTATGTAAGACACATCTTATTTTTCCTCGTATAAATGGCCCTAATGTTGCAAAAATGCAGGAGACAAAATTCTATAAGTCTTAATTCATAATTTGACTGGAAAATTGTGCCATAAGGAACTGTGCAACAAGGTAGTGTTTTCATAAATGGGGCTACGAAACGGTAACAAAAAATTAAACAGGTTTTAAACTAAATGTTTTGGGAAAAAATTTGCCTTTTTTGCTACAAAGAACAACAGAAATTAAGTTCCAGGATAAATGGATTTTAGGAAAGGAGAATACATGTAGAAAGGGTATCAAATTTTACCTCATTAATTTTTTTGAAGTACTATTCCCACATATATTTTATTATTTTAGTGTTCCCTATTATCAATCACCAAAACGATTATCTACTAGGTAATAACATATGGGGACAACTAAATTTTCCAAAAGGACCCTTAGTTCTACAAACAATAAAATTAGTTCTATACAACTTCAGGTGTCCCACTCCTGGATGGAGGAACTGCCAGGTTACCATACATTGTTGGCCTGTCACGTGCTTTGGACCTCATCATGACTGGGCGGCCTGTGAGTGCTCAAGAAGCCTACAGTATGGGTCTGGTCAACCGAGTAGTCCCTAACGGAAAAGCTCTAGATGAGGCCATTAAACTTGCGAAACTCATCGCACGTTTCCCACAAGAGTCGCTGATTACTGAGCGCAAGTCTGTTTATTACTCTGTGTTCAATGCAGAGTCGTTTTACGATGCACTGTCATACGAGCACTCTAAGGGTGTTAAAGTCCAGACAATTAAAGATTCTATTAAAGGCGCTAAAGAGTTTTTAGAAGGGAAAGGCCGAAAGGGGTCTTTTGATGATTATCTCGATTAGTGAACTTGGAGGAATGTCTTAATCAAGCAAGCTCCATGACTTAAGGATTCTAGAACCAGTGGGTGCTACTCAGCAACATTTTTTACATGGGAAGGCTCTGCCCCAACGTCTAATCCCTTACTCTTTTATAAAATTATACCATTTTTTGACAGAACACAAATACTCCCATTGAAAAAAAAAAGATTGGTACATCTCACACATACCTGTAGAGATCTACAGCTTGTCATTTTCATGTAGTGTGAGTGAGGTGCATCTGTTTTCAAGAAAAATTTTAATTAAAGACAGGCTTCTGTTAAAGGCTTTATGAAACTTAGTGACAAATTTCCTAACCCTTTCAAATACCTGAATTCTGTTAAGGTACCCACTGTGGGCGAAGCTTCCCCATAGAGGCTATTATGTGCCTCCACCCTTGATTAAAGATAAGTAGTGTAAAGAGAGATGGTGAGATACAGGCAGCAAAGAGCTGTTACAAGGTGAGCTAAAGTTTATCAGCAAAGTGCAGTTGTCAGGCTTACCCCCATTTTCATCTAACTTTTATTTTATCTTGAACAATAACAAACCATATTTAAAAAAAATGCAATGAAATGTTTATCTTGACAACTAAAAAAGATAAAAACAATGCAATGAGTCATTGTTAGCTCTTTCTTAGTTACAAGGGTGTGCTCTGATTATTGTTCAAAGTTCAAATGCATGGTATACAGCATTATTAACAAGCAAAAGTAACTCCTTAGAGCCCTAGGCATTTCTAGAGCACAGCCCCAAGTACATCTATGACTGAGTTTCAAGACTCTTGCATGACTTTTCTAAAAGGTACTCGAGAGTGTGATAAGATTTGGGGATGTCACTAAGTTTTCAAGTAGGGGAAATCAATTAAAGTGGAAGCTCTCATAAGCTGACAACCTCGAGACACCAAAAGGGTGCTTGTAACTGGAGCTGTCCATGTATGGGAATGTAAAAAGTACAGTGTTTGTGTGGGAGTTGAGAAAAATGAGGTTTTGTGAAGGTGGCCATAAGTAGAGCTGTCTGCTTATGAAAGTGTCTGTGAGGAGACTTTTCACTCTAACTAGGGATCTCTTTTGGTTCTATTTTTCTTGTATTTTCTTAGGAACGTAGCCCAGGGTCACATCATTGTAACTGGGGGAAATCCCCAGCCCTTAATGACATCCCTGTTAAATATCCCTTGAGATATTTGTGATTTGCATAAAAACCGATGCACATGCTAAAGTTAATCATCCAGGAAACTTGTCCAAATAATTATACATGTTCGGTTATCGTTAATTTTTGTACAAAAGGCATCTACAGTGTAGTTCGTCAGTGGACACACATTTGGACAGATTGGACTGTTGGGAGATGAAAAAACAGTGAATAAAGCCAAAACTTCAACCCTCACAAGAATTTGAGTCTTTAATAGTTCTGCTTTAATAGTATAACGTGTCTCTGTTTCAAAGAGAGGCTAGGTGCAGAGCCGTTAATAGAAAAACGATTTTTTTTCTTGCTCTCATGCAAATAACTCATTTTCACAAGAAAGTTTTAGGCACTTACACCCAAATGAAGGTGAGAGTTTTTTGAACTTGGAAATGGCCTATTGAGAGTATAGAAGGGAAGAGTAACATGGAGGGGAAGGGTAGGGATGCTGCCTTCTCCCCTTGCCCCTTCCCCCATTGTTTTCTAGTTTGAGCTCGGTTCAGCTTTCGCGCGGCTTTATCTCTTACTTATGAACCCCAAAAGGAAAAACTCAGAAATGTAAAATACCTACGCAGGCTACGTACTAAAAGTTACCTGCAATGACAGGAAGTTTTTGTAACATTTGGCATAAGTGATCATAAGTCTCCATGCCTTGTGGAGTAAAATACAGAATGATATACTTTTTCCGAGGCATACCCTTATTGATCCTTTTAAAATGTGTGAGATTTAAAACGCTATGTCATGCTATTTTCTCTCCAAAGAGTAACCGGTCAAGTCGGCCGAAATTTTAGGGTAATATGTCGCCATAATATATAGACTTAGTCAGCGCTGAAAGCGAAGCTGCCGACAATATTTATAGTCTGCTGAAACAAAATTTAAAATCGTGGAATGCTAAGCGGCGAAGGCAACGAGAACGGTGAAAAAACAATAGGTCTAATTAGCAAAAAAGCAACTTTGCACGCGCAGCACACTTTTTTGTATATTTCCTCGCCGTTGTTTTGCACGACTACATCGTGAAACTACCGGAAACTTCCTAGTTACACGTTTTGTACGTGTTCCTGTTTACTTTTTTTCACTGCCGCTCGTTTTCACCTTGATAGCCGCTAGCAATTCTCATTTTCTATCCACCGCTACAAAATTTTCATGTTGTTCTTCCAACAAAAAATGTCTCCTTTGTTTTTTATCTCCTGCTCCAGCTCTCTGTCGTTCTTTTTCTCGTTGAGCTTCGCTAACCTGTCGCCTACGTTCCCTTTTTCTCTGTCTTTCCCTATATTCCAAATTTGTGGACATGACAATTGATTTAAGCTTAATACTTTTTAGACAACACGGATACACAAACAATTTCCACTTTCCGTTTTCGTCTTTATTGACTCTTTAGTTCTCTGCTTCACAAGACGCGGGTGGCTATGCCAATAGAGTACTAAAGTGTGACGTCATAAAAATGAAATTTCTGAAATTATGGGATTTGTCAGGATATTCTGAAAGAACAATGTCTAAGAGGCCTACTTGCCAAAAATGAGCATTTGGGGGCAAATTGTCTCTGAGATCGTAGCCCAGTTATGCTTACAAAACTCCATACAAACCCTTCTAAATTTTTTCTGGGTCGACCCAAAAAAAAATTAGAAGGGTTTGTATGGAGTTTTCTGAGTATAACTGGGCTACGATGTCAGAGACAATTTGCCGCGAAATGCTCATTTTTGGCAAGTAGGCCTCTTAGACATTGTTCTTTCAGAATATCCTGACAAATCCCATAATTTCAGAAATTTCATTTTTATGACGTCATCACTTTAGTACTCTATTCCCGCCAAAATAACTTTGAGTTGCATTTGGGTTGCCATACTTGTTGATTGAGTTATTTTACATTGGTATGCCTGTGACGCGGACGGACGGGCGGTCGGACGCACAGTCACGTGATTACCGAAATTTCTCGGATGGGTAGAATACCACATTTTCTTAGGTATGGGGCTACCCTCGTGGAGCTCCGCAAAAAAAAGTATCCCTAAACAATCAGAAACCACTGGGTAGTTTTGAATGTAATAAAAAAGTAACGAAAAAATAATATTCGGTGTAAGAAAACATAGCAATTCAACTTGTGAACAGAGAAGAAAGGAAAGAAAAAAAAAAGGAAAAAACGCAATTGAATAAGCAAAACGAGTCGAACAGTATAAAGCTTTTATTTACATTAACACACTAGGTGGTTTTTTACGCTAACTATTGACTAAAATACATAAAACCTGCCAAATTTGTCTTTACTGAGACTTCTATTTAACAGCATCGGAAGATCTCATACATCATTGTGGACACCGTACCCCTTTCACTGCCAAATGAAGCCAAAGGCAAATTCGACCAGATTTCTAAATTTCATTTTGTGAAATTTTGAAAAACAAATAGCATCATGTGTAAGTACAAACAGAGAGGTTTCATTTGAATGGTCACATCATAGGTTTTCGTCCGCAGACTCAAAAGTTAGAGTCACCTTACAAAACTCCATCAAACACCTTGGAAGTAAAAGGGGTACTACTTGTTTCTAGCTCCAGTTAACCTGAGCAACGACGACGACGACAGCAACGAGAACGGCAAAAAACCAATAGCATTATAGGCTATGTTCACATTACACCGGACAGATTTTCGTTTATCCGGCATCGTGTGAACACCTATCCCGCGATATGTGACTCTCCACTTTAGAGATCGACACTGCGCAGCTTCGCTCCGTTACAGAAATCGCGCCGAAATCCCTTTTCGTATGTGTGAACAGAAGCGCTATCCGAAATGGTTTTCGTGTCGGCGCAAAAGCTATCCAGTATAATGTGAACACTGCGTTAGATTAGCAAAACAAAACTTGACACATGCATCAGATTTGTTTTGTACATTTCTTTGCCGTGGTTGCACGACAACGACGTGAACAGGTCTCAACAAAAGACGACGATTTTCTGATTCTTTTTGTAAACTTAGATGCAGTCCTTTAAAATTCAACCCTATAAAAAATTCACCAACACTTGACAAATAGTATACTTGCACGATATGGAGTAAGACCGATGAATTTTGAAACAGCGTGAATTCACTTTTCAAGAGACATTTTCCGCCTCACTGTCGTCGTCGTCGTCGTTGCTTTAACTCCCCAATGTAAAGATCACTGGTCTTAATATTGCCGGTACCGAGCTTAGAATGAATACAACCTTTCACCACCTAGTTACACTAAAATCCTGAAGCAAACACGGTCACTAAATTGCTAACGTTACTTCCTAAAATACGCTATACAATGTAAAAAGGGCTAATGCACAAGCCTCATTTTTGTTACAAAAATATCTTTGGAACTAAAAAATAGGGCACCAACATATAATGAACACTTTGAAAACTCCATGAATATAATGACTGATAAATGCATGTACATGGACGAATGAATTGAAATATTTAACTAAAGGCACTATCAGATTGTTAACATCCGGAGAATCAATAGAGACCTTTAGATTGGAGGACGAGAACGACTAGACGAGTACGAGATTTGACTTAAATTTTCTTCGCGTATTCTCAAAACATGGACACCTCGGAAAGCTTCGTTCTACTTTTTTTCAGAAGAAAAGTTAGCACTGTTCTTTATTGAAGGAATTTAAGCCTTCTCCCGATAGCGAAATGATAAAACTTCTAACAATTGATAACTTCTTTCCGTCACTACGACTCTCGCTAAGACTCGTCGTAGAATGACGACAGCCATCACATTCTCCCGCAAAAATGACGCTGGTTTACGCGCTCGCACTACTAATCTCGTACTCGTAGTCGTACTCGTCTTAGAATCTAAAGGTCTCTAATTATTAGTCACAGACAACGGATTTTCCCGAAGAGAAGAGAAATTTCTTTTCCTTTCACGGAAACTTCCTTTCTTTTGACGTCGTAACTTCAATCTCAGGTTTCTATTCTGACCTGATGGCGAGGAAGGCTGCTTTGCCGTTGGCAAAAAGGTTTCAGTAATTGTAGTCTGTCTGGAGGGCAAGACTCTCTTAACAGATGGTGCTATATTTGCGGTTGTGTTCGTACCCACAGAACAGCACTCCTTGCTCTCATCCCTTCCATTGTCTTCGTCTATCGCAAGTGGTTTCTTTACATCTGCATCTGATTTTTCTGGAACATGATTAACGTTACTACTACTACTGACTGTTTCAATCTGCAAATCTTTGTGCGAGCTGTTAGTGACTTTAGGGCTTGAAGCCACCAAAACGGAGTGCAAAAATTTAGTCGGATTGCAACATGTCAACATGCACTTGCCAAACTTATCATTTCCATAAGGACAAGGTTTCCTTGGCGGTGTTATAACTTTGGTGATGAGACATGCATCGTCATCGCTTCCATCATGGTCTTCCTTGTTTCCACAATTTAGTAAGGTAACTTCTAACAACATTGCTTCTCTGTCAACGTCTTCACTCGAGTCTGCCTCTGCAGCTTTAACAGCCTCTGCAGACCTGCTCGCGCTGTTCAGTTTTCCCAGCTTTTGTTTTCTGGATTCAGGACTACTTAGTCCTACACCATCAACGGTTACACTGGACTTAACACCAGTGTCACCTGTTTTTGAATTTCCTTCACAGTTTGGGTTCTCTGTAATAATCTTTAGATCATCTTCACTTGCTTGCGATGAACACTCTGAATCTGTGTCCTTTATAACAATCGCCTGGACCTCACCTCCAAAATTACCTGACTGTTTTTCCACAGTTTCTGTATACACAGCATCGGATAATGTAAGTAAGACATTAGGAAGCACCGATGCGGAGTGTAAACTATCCAAAAAATAACTGGCACAAGAACGGGAATTTTCGGAGAGGTATTCTTCAAGATTGCTGGGCCCTGCTTCGTTAGATGTTCCGGCAGACAGGCGACGACGCTTCCTCAAAGGCGATGCACCATCTCTAAAAGCTGTTTTGACACTGCTTCTCAACTGGATTTGTTCTTCTTGAGTGCACTTGAGCTCTGCAAGAGGGGCGTCATCGTCGGAGATGGTGCACACATTAACCTCACAGTCTTCTGTTGTAGAAGAACCCTCGCCTTCATCACTGGTGTAAGGATCCATGGAGCGGTCTCCCACCGGCCTTTGCCGGGTGCTGGAATAAGGCAAAGTATTACCGCAGGTATCACAGTGCCATTCCCCTGGGGATCTTTTCCAGTGTTGACACTTCAGGTGTGTTCCAAACTGGCCACATGAATCACACAAACGTATGCGCCACTTTCTACGACACAAAAGATGCCAAAATCAGGTTAAAAAACTGATATTTATGAACACTTATGCGATTATCCATACACCCTTCCCGCATTCCTGAAAACAAAGGCATCAATTCGAGGGTCGGGTGGACAAAACACAGTGATTTGTATGAAATTGTCTACCCGAGGAGCCTCGACCTCATTTCTTCATGCCTACTCACTGGAGCGGAATGCGGGAAAGGTCAATTGATCGTTTCGAGTATGCACATAGGACTGGATCAGAGCTGTGTCGAACTGCGGGACTGTTTTGAGGACGCTATTGCTTTTTTTATTGGCGAAAGCGCAGCCTCGAAATGGATAATAGAAACCTTGAAATTTGAAGACGAGGACGAAATTTGACTTGAAAGTTTTTTTTTTCGCGTATTCTAAAAAAAAAGACACCCTGGAAAGCTTCATTTTACTTTATTTTCGCCAGAAAAGTTAACAAGGTTATTTGTATTGAAGGAGGTTAAGCAGTAGCATTTGATCACATGTTTCCGTGACTACAACATTTTCGCAAAAACCCTTAGTGGAGTAACGCGGATTAACGCGTTTTCCCGCCAAAATGACGCGCATTACTCCTAGTTCTCGTAGTCGTCCTCGTCTTAGAATCTTAAGGTCTCTCACGGCACAGCCAACCTTAGAGAAGTGCCTCTCTTAGTAGGGTGGCAAAAGAAAAATGTCTGAAGAACAAAATGGCCGGTTATGAAACCATTCATTTTAAGAGAGTACACTGTAGCGTATTACTATAAGATAAAACGCCGTGGTATTGGTAAATTTTTAGGTGTAAAGCGAGGAAAGAAGGCTGTATTCGAAGGCTAGTCTGTTAGAACGTATCTGAATTGCTTTATTTGCCTTGATTAGCCCTGCTGTTTACGGGCAGAGAAGTAAATAAATATTCGTTTTTAATGTTGAAATAAAACTATGTATTCTTCTAATTGGGTGCAGCGTATATTCGAGGGCAGCGTTTTTGGCTAATTTTGCTTTCATCTGCGGCGTTTAATCGAGCAAATGCGGTATCTACAGTTTGAAACAATACTCTAACATTAACATAGCTAGAGTTAAAAACAATGCATTAGAACAACAGTAATAAGGGATGTTTAAATTCGAGGACGATATTGCGTCTTCTCAAAAAATAGACACTCGGGAAATCTTCACCGTACCTTTTTTTCACCAGAAAAACCCGTGATAGAATGACGACAGCTATCACGCTTTCCCGCAAAAATGACGCTGGTTCACTCGCGCGTCCTTGTTAAGAATCCAAAAGTCTCTATAAAAGACCCTTCCACAGTTTTTAACTTTTGATAGGAACAAGTTAGGAAAAATCCGTAGACAACACTTGAAAGAGCGCCTTAAAATTAGTACAATTGCCAAGTTTGAAATAGACTGCGAGCAGTCTCTCTTTTTCTTCAGATTTAGTGAGAGCAGTGTACGCGCGCGGGAGCGGCGAAGTCGCAAGACAAGCGAAACGAGGGCGGCACCCTCTCCCGTCTCGCACCTTCAGTGACGCGCGTGGTCATTTGCGTGTCTTTAGATTCGAGGACGAGGACGACTCCGAGGACGATATCGCGTCTTCTCAAAAATAGACACTCGGGAAATCTTCACGGTTTTTTTTTCCACCAGAAAAATTAGCACGGATATTTTTATCGAAGGAGGTTCAGCCCTCTCCCGAAAGCAAAATGATAAAGCTTCTGACATTTGAGAACTTGCTCCCGCAGCTAAAACCCGTGGTAGAATGACGACGGCTATCACGCTTTCCCGCAAAAATGACGCTGGTTCACGCGCGCGTCCTTGTTTAGAATCTAAAAGTCTCTATAAAAGACCCTTCCAGCTATACCTTCGTTAGTTTACTTTTCAACAAATCACATTCAAACTTGGCAGTTTAACTAATTTAAGGGCACGATTTTCTCCTACCTCGTCCGTGGAAAAAACCGTGGAAAGGTCTATTATCCTTTATACTAATGATCACTATAGGCAGCAAATAAATTATCTATACCCCGATCTTTGCTCATGTTCTCTGCCGTTTGGACAAATGCATTTTTCCGCATCACAGCGACTGTATTGAAACAGAAGATCAGCAAATGCATCACCTTTTTCCCAACTGGCATCCCTATAAATAAAGAAAGAAAAGATAAAATTACATGCCACTAGCCTGTTAGTAATACTCAAGGCTACCAAATAGCCTTTGCAGAAACCAAGGGATACTGGTTAGGAGAGGTGGAATGGTAGGCAGGGGTTTCAATAGGCACCGACGGCCGACGCTCATAGAAGCAACTAGTTTGAATAACTTTGTAAACAAAAAATATAATCATAAAATCTGAATGAAAACGTAATTATGATGTGCTTTCATAAAGGCCCATTGGTTTTACGTTATGCTTTAGTCATGTGAAAGCTATATTTCAGTCAATTTTAAACAGTTTTACGGAGAATTTGTTTACGTGCAAAAGTACCTAATTTAGTTTTCATCATTTGTTCATTGCTTGTAGTAATATATCATGTAACCGATAGATCGAAAGTTGAATGAAAGCTACATTTTATTGAATAAAAACACGCTCTTTTGTCCTCAAATTAGTCCCCAGAACGCTGAAAATCGCATTTTAGGGCTTTGAAATTTAAAAAATTTCTTGGGAAGCACGCCCCCAGATCTCTTGCCCTTGATAAAAGAGGACTAACGGCCCCTTGATGATACAGTCGGTTACTCTATTCAAACCTGCTGGCTACTTCAATCATTTTTTTAATTGAAACCCCTGTGTAGGATGCAGGAGAAGAGTGAGAAGGCGAGAGGCGTTCTCTCGCTCGCGAGTTGTCCTGCGGCTTGCTTTGCTCACCAGAGGCGCAGAGCCTACCCGCAGGCTATCCCCCAGAAACAAATGAAAAAAAAAATCTGGCAAAAGCTTACTGTTCTGGGATATAAATGCCCATCCTTTTCATTTCCTGTTGAAATAGCTCCATGTTGTTACAGACTGGACATCGGAAATAAAAGAGACCACTTGAATGTGCATGTCTCTGTAACCAAATATACCAGAAACATGTTATAAAAATTAATGGGGAAATCCAACACAGGAAAAGTCAAATTCTACGCTACTTTTCTCATTTCCCATCTACTTAAAAAAAAATGGGGTTGCTCTGGTTATGCAGAAATTTATCACCTCCTTTTTGTCAGTTGAACAGTGAAAGGTAAGTTTAATTTAGCATATCACACCATACCGCCCCTTATTACCAGGATGTTAAATAATTAACGACTTTTCGCAATGGCCTCGTGAAAACTGCCAAATTTACAAAATTTACGATTTTAGCAATGACCTTTCAAAAACCGCAAAATATACAAAATGTTTATCCCCTTGCTATGATTGTAAGTAACCACAACTCAATAAAAGTGGTGCTTCGAACCAGCTAAACCCTCCGAGAGTTAACAAAGAAATATCTACATCATAACTGAGGGCGCTTTCCTTTTGTCAGAACTGGTCGGCCGGACCAGTCAGTTACCAAATGAAATCGGCTTTTTCCATAGGGTTTTTGCTGAAATACTATCTCCTATGGCATTTTATTTAGGATCTGACTGATCTGGCCGGATAGTTTTGATTCACAGTGAAATTCTCATTAAGACGGGAATGGTCTGGCCGGTCAGTTCTGACAATTGGAAAGCGCCCTGAGAAACCTCTTGCCCATCTGTCCTGACATGCGGTTCATGCTTGAGCCATAAATCTGAGTCAACAACTCAGTCTATAGGTAACCATACAGACTTCAAATTGATTTCATTTAGGTTACCGGTATTTATTACCTGAAGACAGCTGTTGTGAAACCACGAATTTCTACAACAGGGTGTCTTAAGAGGAACCTCAGCAAGAGAAGTACGACTGTTCCAATCAATTTCGCACAAACAGATTGGACAAGTTTGGCCGCTACTTTCGATCAAGTTAACACTTTGTGTTGGACGGTGGTACAGGCAGTAAGAGCTGCAATAAAATTCAATGCAGCAAAAATTAGGTGCATTCCTAGGGGGGTGCTTTGTAAATTTTTGGCATAGGGGTGTGGGGTGGTGAGGCCCTGCTGGAATCCTACACATGTACAGAGCAGTGTTCAGTTACATTTTAGTACAGCAATGACATGTAAGGGCCAACAGACAATGTCCAGCCATGATGACCACCCACCAGGACAAACTTTTGGTTGAAGTACCGGTAAGTGAAAAAAAATAAAATAACAACAACCACACCCACTTTACCCATTGCTTCTTAAGAGGGCAATCATCTTTTTTTAACCTTAACACAAATACAAAGCAAGGAGAATGCTTTGCAGATTTGCAATTTTAAGCAAGAGTGGTTTGCTAAAATTTTAGTCACAGTGAAACATTGCTTTGTTATAAAGGTAAACTTTGTCTGTCTTAGTAGCCTGTCATTATTTATTTTTGAGAAGGAGTGAGTACAAATAAAGATTGTTGTTGTTGTTGAGAAAACTACCGACATTTGGCAATGTTACCAATTGTTTCCCTGCCAAATGACATCTGCGAAACCAGCACAAAAATTTTCATACTGATGATGCATCACTACCCAAATCTGGGAATTGCTTCTGATTGGTGGAAGACATTGATGACACGATGACTGGCCACATTCATTTTAGCTTGGTCATGTATTGTTTCTGGCCGGTCAAATTTATAAGATAAAAATAACAGACAGACAATGCCTGAATTGTATACAACAGTTCTAGTTGCATTTCACCCAGGATTTCATATCAAAGTTCTGCAATACACAGTGACTTGCTACATTAACTGATGACAACAGAAACAAGCATGGCCAAATGTTATTACATTTCATTTTCAATACGATCGAATGTGACCGGTCAACGTGACCGGTCAACATGACCGGCAAGACGAAAACTCCCCAATCAGTCTGGACATCGCCATTGACCGGCTGTTATTTTGAGCCCTGCAATGTACTGCACTTGTGTGAATTCTACGTGTAATGTCACAGAGATAAGTTTGTGATGATATTTTTATATTGTCTTTGGTGGTTAATTATTAACAAACCCAAGCCCAACCTCCATTCAGGGGAAACTTCTATTCAAGGGCCACTTGCCTCGGTCCCAAGGTAGTCCCCTGAAAAGAGGTTCCCCTGTAATATCATGTTTTGGTCATCTCCCCAAGTGAACTGTCTTGTGCTATATTAAACAAGATGGCTTACTTGAAGCTGTCGAAGAACTGAAACAACGAGCCTCTCTCTCGTCCACATTTGTAATGAAACGCTTGGGAACATCTTGACTTACAGCAACCAATAGTTGCACCAAGTTTCTTGCAAAAATTACATTTCTGTAGAAATATTGACTGGTTAATATAAAAAGGCATTTGCTCAATAAGATAATATAATTATAATATGAAGACTCAGCATGCAGAGAAAGTCGTGTCCGATAGCCTGGCAGGCTAATGGATTTTGCTATCAGGCTAGTGAATTCTGTTTTTAAATTGCCTGATGGGCTAGCAGGGTGCAAAGAAAATCATTTTACAGCTTGTCATTCGGGCAAGCTGAATCTAGCATTTACTAGCCCACAAGTCATTTCAACTGGCCCCAAGGCAAAAGCTTTTTGATGAGTAGAACTGATTTCACAGTTCTTCTGTTATTCAGATTCCTCAAAAAACATCACTTGCCCGTTGGGCAAGTTAAAAACAGAATTCACTAGCCAGATAGCAAAATCCACTAGCCCCGGGCTATCGGACACTACTTTCTTTGCATGCTGGGCTAGTGATATATTTTTTAGGGTATTCAAATTAAAGAAGAACTGTAGCCAATTCTGCTCATCAAAACTTTTTTGGGGGCTAGTTAAGATGACTCTTGTGCTAGTACATGTTAGCTACAGCTTGCCTGAAGTGCAAGCTTTAAAAATGATTTTGTTTGCACCCTGAACACAAGAGTTTCTTAGATGAAATCAATAATTCAAGTCAACGAAGGTTTTGTTTTGTTTCATCTAAATCTGGATTTTGCAATTGAGGATCACTGTGAATGATCCACCTCTGCACTTGGATTGGTCAGATTGGTATCTCAATCTGGTTTTGAATTTTGCTTACATTTAGCGCAACTGCTTTTTGATCACAAGAATGCGCTCATTCATCAGGTTATCCATCAACATGGCAGGTCAAGGTCAGATCAGGCACCACATCTTTGTTTTCACAATTTTTTTTATTAATGTACTAACCAATCTTCTTGATCTTGAAATTTCTTTTTTTATGTCTGTCATTAAAAACCCATCAAATCCTTCATCATCCTCTCCTCTTTGAGCCAAACCTGAGGCAAAGAGCTAGAAACACACAAAGTAAGTTCAATAAGTTAAAACTTTTTCATGAAAATGTTCTTATCTGCTCAG